TAGAACCAGGTGGAATAGCTTACTAAACATGCTGGAAAGATTTTTATTACTTAAAGATGCTGTCCGAAAAAGTCTAGAAACCTAACTTAACCTAATCTGGATTATTTTGTACAAAAATTAGATCAAAATTAGGAGATAAGACTTTAAATAATTTAAGTTTCTTGAAAAGTTATTTTTTAAAAAATGATAATCAATAAAATGGTATTAAGTACTATATATTATTTCCATTTTATTTTTATTTTTCTGTATTATTTTATTTATGTTTCTAAAAGTTATTATTATAGTTTGTTTAGAATAACACTTTAATTAATTTTTATATTTTTTTATATTCTACATCTTTGAAATAGAAAATGTGAAATGGAAATCAAAATTACTTATATTTTTTATCACCTTAATTTTATTTTTCAGGGAAAAAATTTACCGGTAAACCGGTATTTTAATTTTCATTTACTGAAAAAGTCGGTAAATTTACAATTCCTAGTCCATACATTAAATACGGAAAAGGACAAACTTTTTATTTTTATTTCTATAATAATTTCACTTAGTCTATTGTTTATTCAGTTTATAACCTATAAAATAAAACTGACTTGGCAATGCCAAATCAACCTTGTTTTATAGATTATAAACTAGAGTCTTTACTTTTTCTGCATTTAATGTATAATTATTGATGGTAACCTTATTTATTCCAACAATATTTTAATAATTGTATACATCTCATGCTTTAATGACCATAAATTTACTCTTACCACAAAGTTCAAAGTCTACAAAAGAAAGTTGTTGTTGTATCCAGTTCAACAAATGAAGTAGCCATAGAAATAAAAACAAAGTTCATCTTATTTGATCTTTCTAAACTTTTCTATATATTTCACAGAATCATATTAAATCAACAAAAATAATTCACCCAATAATTGTGCACATTCATTTTTTTTTCTTATAAGTTATTTTGATATTTTTTGAAGTGATTTAATTAAAAATATACTAAAATTCAGATGAAATAATCATAAAATAGATTACAGAAAACATTTTTATTACATGTATATTCTTCATAATACATTAAAATATAACACAGATTTCATGCTACTTTTTCAAAGCCTTAGATTAAAAATTTTTATAGTTAAAATTTACCTCAAGAAATGGATTGTGTCCTATAAATCCTTTATTATCTGGACTAGCTGCTTGATTATCCGGAAGAGGTGGAATGTCATCATCATCTTCACTGCTAATACAAATATTTCAGAAATAAGTATTCAAACAATTTTATTTAAATTTTCTTATATTTATACTTTTCAATCAATTATTTTATTGGCTATTTATACATAACTATAAAAAGTAAGTAACAAAATCTTTGTTTTTTCTGTAGATTTTCATTTTGTGTCATCATAATATTTTACTAGAATATAAAGTTAAGAACATAGAATAATTTCCTGTATTCTTAACTTTATTCTACAGCATTCAATTAACATATAAGCCAAAAGCAATCAGATTATAGGTAAAAAATGTCTCTGTAAAAACTCTTTGCAGAAATGAAATGAAAAATAATGCTTTAATGACAGCAAAATTACTTAAAAACATTATTAAAAAGAAAAAACAAGAGTTCAAAGGATTTTGATTTATCATAAATCATCATCAGAAATACCTATAAAAGTTCAAATAGAACATTGTTGTCAAGGAGGGTAGCAAACAGACAAACCAAAAGTGGTTGTTATGGTTACAAAGAAAAAAAAAATCACATAACATTTATTATGAATTTCATAAAAAAACTTAAGAATTATAAAATTATTACAGGATAAAACAATCTACTAAGTAGGGTAATTTTTGTTAAAGCAAAATACTTTAATAAGCTATTTCCAAAAAATGTTTTGATTATAATTCATAATTTGTATGTTTTATGATTTTTCTTTTGTAACCATAGCAACTAAGTCAAGGTGCTTTATGCTCTTGTCCCCAAACTTCTACAATCTACAACCATAGCAACCACTCTTGGTTTATGTCTGTTTGCACACCTCCATGATAATGACATTCTAATCAAGCGTTCAGATATTTCCTGGTAACAAGAAAACGCTTGAACTCTGTTTCTAGTTTTTTCATAATGTTCTTATAATTTTTTCTCCACTAAAGCATTATTTTTTATTTCATTTTATTCACAGAGTCATTCATGTATTACGTTTTGATTACCCAAAGCAAGCAGTTTGGTCTATCAAATCTTATAATAGAAATAATTAAGAAAAACATACTGATAATGTTTTTTAAACAAACATTTAACAATTTTTTTTTGGTTTCAAAAGCAAAAGTTATATGTAAGTGTGCACAATACCAATTTAAATAATAATACAACTATATATTTAAACTTGCATAAAAAGTTGTTTTTGATGTAACAATTTAAGTATTAATATAAATAAGATAATAAGTAAGAGGAAGTGTCAAAAAGAACAACAGTCATTTAATTGTATTTATCTCCAAAAATATTAAAAATTATTTATAAAATGATAAAATATTTAAATTATTATGTTTATAATACATATAATAATTATAAATAATAATATTAATAGAATAATATCTTAAAATCAAACTTAGCACTAATTAATGTCAAATAATCATAAATCTGACAAAAAAAAAAAAATATATCAAATTTTAAGATCTTAACTTGGAATAAGAATTTTTTAAAGGTTAACAGCCATTCATTTATATGAAAATTATTCAATTGTAAGAGGATAATATTGGAATTTTGAATAATTTGCATATAAATTTAATAACAGATCTGGATATTTTAAATTCATTTTTATTAAATTTATCTTTCCTTTCAATCTGAAAATGAAATGAATCAGATTATTAACCTGAATCATTGTCATATCAGATCGGAAACAGATTTTTAGCAAGTGTTATTCAAATTGACAAAAAGGGAATCTTGAATATATGTTTTTTTAAATTCCACAAAATGTAGACTAAATTGTCTCTACTAAAATTTATTAATGGAATTAACTATCTGTAACAAATTTACAAAGTTACATACGTTGCCCATTCTATTGAAGAAGATTTGATAGAATGATAGAGGGATTTAAGTACTTCTTTTGGAAAATTCTCTCCATCATTCAATTCATTTAGATTTTCGATGAACTCCACACATGTCATCTTTCTTCCTACATTCTGTAAAATAAAATAAAAAATATTCACTAAAAATTTATAAAATGTAGAGTTTTATAAAATATAAATATAAAAGAAAATTCCCTACCAATATGCTAAATTAAAAAAAAAGTTTTTTTTTTGTTTAATTATAAAATGTTTATTAGCGTCAAATAAATTTTTACTCCCCCTTTTTTTTCCTGAAAATGCCCAGACACAATAAATAATTAATATACAGAGTACTAATTCAAAGTCAACAGATGACATATATTCTTTGAAATATACAATAAATGATAAAAGTAAACTTCTTTGTTATAAACAAAAGATAAAATTTCCCCACACGATAATATAAACAAACTTTGAAGATGCACATGAGCATCCTTGGCACTGAGTATGTTAACCTCAACTGTATTTGAGAAAAAACTAAGTATATAAAAAAATAAAAATTAATCACAAGATATTTAAGTTAGTATAGTTAAAATAGTTGATCTATTCTTATTAATGCACATTATTTAATTAAACGGTCATTTAATGATTACTAAATTTGTTAAATTATAAGTTATATACTATAAATATTTATACAATAAACTATATTATCAATAAATTTGGCACTGAAAGATGATGCCAACATCTTATAATAAAAATAATAATATTCTAAAGAAGCATCAAATAAATAGATTCTGTAGAAATACATCATTGTCAGAGTTTTCATAGCTTTATTTTTTGCACTTAATAAACCAATTCACAATATACATAAACAGATGTAATTTAATAATTTGTATGAGATGAAGTTAATACGTTTACTTATGTGAATAGGATTGGTAAACAATTATATATACAGTATATAAGATTCAAAGAACATAATGCTGCAGTAAAATTGAAACAGTACTTCAGTCATTTACTTGTACACACAACACAACTAATATTCACCAAGACATTTAAATACATTTTCTTTTAATTCTCAATGAAATTTTTTGAAGATTTTCTATATATATATATATAAAAAAAAAAACAAGGAAATGAATTTGAGACATTAATATACTATTAATGCAATATAGTACTAAATAAAATATATAGTACTGTATTACATATTTAGTATTATGAATATGGTACTAAATATATAATTAAATAAAACAAAACTTTTCATAAATTTTAATATTAAGAAATTTCTTTTAAATGTATTTTGTCTTGAAATTTTAAGTCTTTTTATATAAGAAAAAAGTTTAGAAAGAATTTTAAAAATGTTAGTCATGCTTCAGGGGATAGAATATTAAAAAAAAAATGAAAAACTGTATTTAAGAGTGCAGAATGTTAATTTTCAGTCTGATCTTAGTGAGAATGAGTCCATCAGATAGAATGTAAAGGCATAGGAAACTGATGTTTTTTGAATGTTGAAAATATACAAGAGTATGCAATGTACTTTTTTAAAAACAGCATATTTTATTATAGTAAGTTTACATATGTTAAAATTTAAACAATTTGTTGTTAACATAAAAAAAAGTTTATGTATTTGTAATCACTGTAATGTAAATGTAAAATAAAACTACATTGTGATACTGTTGAGGTAATAGCTTTAAAATTTGACAACTATTCTTGTTGGAAATAATGATTTGGTATACTTCAATTTTATATTGTGCTCTCAGATCCCCACCTTGATTTAATGAACAGGCTTGTGTGCTTTTTAGGCACCGTGAGTTGTGTCAGCAGCAGCTTTGCTACCGACAGGGATACCATGCTAAACAGATCAGAGGTTAGGGGCTAGACTAAGGCAGGATCACTGCTCCTCCAGGATGGAGGTTGTGTATGGGGTAACACTATGTAAAAATGATTGTTGTTAAAAGAAGACAAAAGAAAAGAAAGGCAGAGTCTGGGAATGGTGGGGCTCCTGGACTGGAATAGATTAATGAGAAAAAAAGAGCAGAAGTGTGAATGTTAATTGGATGTGTGGAATGTAAAAGAAGCAAGATAATGAATTAATGAAAGAAATAACTATAAGTTAGATTTTCTTTAATGAGTGAGATGAGAGTGAAAGGCAAGGAATGTATGAATGTGAATGGGAATGTATTGATTTAGTCTGGTGTCAAAAGACAGTAAGCAATGCAGGAGTAGGTGTTTTAGTGAATGAATATCTAAAGGAGTATAAGCAAGTGAATGAAAGAATGATATGGGTGCACTTCAAAGTGATGCAGAGAGTGATTATTGTTATTGTGTATGATGCCCAGTGTATACTGCTGGGGATTGCTGAGAATAAATTTGGAAAATATTAAGAGATGTCTTGAATGAGTATCACACTCCTCAGAAGCATGCAATTATAGCTGGAAATATGAATAAATGATAAATGAATGGAATGAAGAAAGATGATTGAGAGAGTGAAGAGAATCTATATGGTAATCCCAAGGTAGAGGTCACGCTGCATAGTGCCAAAGTTGCCACTTGGCAATATTTTTATTAAAATGGCGATAAAAACCATAGTCCACTTATTTTGACATTCAGTGTGAAATTAAATCAAAAAGCATGTTTAAAAAAAAAAAAAAAAAAAGCAGAATGTCAAGCTCCTGTGCAATGGGAGTCTTATGCACCATACACCTAGCAATGTCATGATGTCACACTGCAAGTTCAGACAGAGATGCAGGATGTGATGTTGAGAATCAAAGGCAGTTTTCAAGTAATGCTGCTCAGTAATTCCAAATTGGGGATTTTTTACCAACTGACAGAAAATTTGAGGAATATTTTGGAGTGACAGATTTTTTCATTTTAATCTTTTTTCAGTAGACTAAAGCATAAAAATTTTTACGTGACAGAACATGTGGAATACTGTTTAAGCGTTGTTATCCAATGTGTTATTTGGAATTATTCATTAAAAAATTATTCAAAAATGATTCCTATTTCTAAGTGACAGCTTAATATGTTTTGTTTTCCAGGCTCCAAACTGATAAGGTTACCAGCACTTGAATTAATTAGTAAGTAAAACTGATGGCAATAAATAATTTGAAATGGTGAAAAAAAAATTTGAAACTGGTGAAATGATTGGCAACTTTTTTTAATTCCCCTGTACATGTGAATGATAATGGAAAGTGATTGGTTGAGCTCTATGTGAAAAAAACCTATGGCTGTCCAACATCTTTTTTCCACACAAGACCATTCATCAGTACACATGGAGAAATTGTTTGAAAGATTAAACGAATATAATAGATTTTGTTGTGGACGATGATAGATTGAAAGGTATAGTGGAGGATACAAGAGTTATGAGAGGAGTTGGCTGTGGTTTCGATCCTTATTTAATGTTATTGATGGTGCAACTGACAATTGGGTGGTAGAACAAAAAGAGGAAAACAGTGACACTGTAGCAAGTGAAAACAGTGTACCTGACAAATACAAAAGAGGAGTATAAAGCATGTTGAGTGATGTGGAGGAGGTTTGGAAGCATTTCCAATCTTGTGTGATAAAAGCAGCAAAAAAGGTAGGCTATGAAAGATACAACAATGTAGGCTATGAAAGAAGGACTGTGTGATAAAATGACAGAGTTGAGCAAGCAGTGAAAGAAAAAACAGACTGCATACATGGACTGACTGAATGGCAGTGCAAATGAAGAAGAGTACAAAGTGAAGAAATGAGAAGTTGCATGAGTGATTAAGGAAAGTAAGGACAGAATGAATGAAGAATGGACCAAGCATTTACAAGATGCATTTGAGGAAAATAGAAAACTGTTCTGGGAGCAAATGAAGAGTAACCATTGCAACAGAAAGAAAAGTGTATCTTGAATGTGTGATGTGCAAATGGTGAGCTGCTATGGAATGAATGTGAGGTGAGTAATTGGGGGTGTGACTATTCTGAGAGCCTGTTAAGAGTCAGTGGAAGTAGCATGAATGAAGGAACAGTTGCAGAGATTAATGAAGATAGTGAAGGATATGGTCCTGTTCAACTGAGTGAAGTTAGAATGCAATAAGAAGAATGCAAAATGGCAAATCTTCTGGTCTGGATGGTGTAACTGCAGAATTGTTAAAATATAGAGGGAAAAATGTGTAAGAATAGCTGTTCCAACACTGCAAAGAGCAAATATGGAAAGAGCAATGTGGATTTATAAAAGGAAAAGTGTGTGGGCCAGATCTCACATTGAGAATGATTGTGGAGAAATGTTTGAATGTGAGCAAGTGTTTGCAGGGTGTGTTGATCTAGGGAAAGCATATGATAGAGTGAATAGAGAGAAACTGTGGCAAGTATTATGTGATTATGGAATGAGAGGTAACCTATTTAAAAGTGTGAGAGCAATGTATGTAAACAGCAAAGCATGTATAGGTATAGATGGCAAGTACCTCGTGGCTCACAATTGAGAAGGGTATGAGACAATGGTGCATTATGGTCCCATGATTGTTTAATGTTTTCATAGATGCAGCATGAGGAGATCCAGAATGTGTGAAATAAGAATTGGAAATTTATGAGTCTTGTTTATTGTATGCAGATGATATTGTGCTATTAGCAGAGAGCAATAAAGAACTTCAGACACTTGTGTCTAATCTTGAAGAAGTGATTGTGGTATTTGAGAGGAGTATGTGGCATAACAAGGAGAGACTATGTAAGAAATGAACAAGTGCTAGAAGAGTGTAGGGTGAAAGAAAATGTGATTGAAAGAGGTGAGAAATCAGCCCTATAAGGGTTCAGCCATATTGAGAGAATAAAAGAACTGTTGGAGAGAGTATATGAGGTACAGTACATGGAAAGAGTGGATGGGAAGTGCAGTAGGGGAAGGCTGAGAAAGTCTTGCTTGAAACAAATGGATGAGTATCTGAAAGAATATAAGACTTGCTGTGTTGAGCCAGAGAAAGAATGCAAGAAAGTGTGCTAGAAGAGGCATGAGTGTGTATGAAGCAAAGATGTGTCTGGACAGGAAGTTATGGAGAAAGTTCCTAATGGATAGTTTGTAAGACTGTAGTCTCCTTTTGCCAACATCAAAAAACAGATCACACATAAGCCCAAACGATTGCCATATTGAATTGGGCTACTTTACTGCTATTATTAATAATTAAATCCTGAGTAATTTAATACTAGAGATGGGCATTAGGCAGCATTTAGTAGCAGTAGCCTGATTCAATACGATAATTGTTTGGCTTATTAATAAAAACATCAGGCTTTGAAATGTTTATATATCACACATTACAACAATTCAAAATTATGACAAGTGTTATAAAATTACATACATTCATATCCTCACTTATAAAATACATTTAATCCAAAAAGAGTACACCTTTAGATTATAAGTATGTGTATTAAAAAAATTTTGAAGCATTCCATTTTAAAACCTATTAAGCACTAAACTTTTCAAACCTTAATGTATTTATATATATATAAATAATATAAAATGAAATTTCTAAGCAAAAATTTAAACTAAAAATATGATAAAACCTTGTAAAAAATTTTGCAAATTTGGGAATAAAAAATAAAAAATACTTTTAAATTTTGTGCTAGAGAGGCAGAAATGTCTGCATAACCTCTCCAGTACTAATATGACTAAAAGATAAGAATAGTAACATTTGTTTCAGGAACCATTGTAAAACTGAGATGAGTTTTATTTTATATTTTTGATCATACATTTTTAAAATTTATTTATGACCATTCAATGTAATTATGTTAATTGTGTTGTAATTGTTTTGTTGTTACTTAAAATTACATGAACAATAATGAAGGGAGAAAAAATTGAATGTTATGATATTTTACAGTTTTACTTTACTTTTAAAAGTCAATAAATAAATATTCTATTCTATATACATTAACAGAATTATAAACACACATCATTTACAGAATAATAAATTGCAATAGCTTTAAGAAAAACTATGAAATAAAGATAAAATTCTCAGGTTTAGCTCAAGTATTCATTACACACTGCTACGTTATGCTCAAAACAAACTTCTTCTAGTTATACTTTTATTTTGTCTTGCAATTTTTATTTGTATTTCTGTTCTTTTAGGTTCCATATTCATTATTTTTATAATTTTAAATCATATCAATCTTGGAACATGCTTTCTCTCTATATGCCTTTTGAAATGATCTGTAAGTGAAGTGCAAAGATCCATCTGCTACTCTTTAATTGCCGTTATATAGGTGAAACCAAACAGAAATTAAAATTAAGGATTAAAGAACATAAAGCAGCTATTAGATTAAAATGTAAAGAATCTCCATGGTTTACTGTAAAATAGACAAAAATATTAAAATTTTATGCAAGAAATTAATCTAATAAAAAAAGAGAATTAAAGCACCATCAATCAATATTTATATGATTTGGGGAGTTCAAGTTATTACAGCAAGTTACTTTAAAAAATATTTATTAATTCAATTTTATTAATTTGTTCTACATTCCGATCTCGTGCATTACGTAATTTGAAAAGTCCGTTAAAAGCTATCAATTCGAAAACAAAGGTATTCGATTTCGCCTGAAGACGACAGTCGTAAACTGTTGAAAGTACTAGCGAACATATCTGAAATTTAACAAATCGCTGTCAATAACGCCACAACACGTAAGTGTCATAATTTTAATAAAGAGAATTAAAGAACACTGTTTTATAAGGAAATTTATAACACCGGAGTAGATAAACTAACCCAACTTCACTGCCTGTAACTGGTGTGCTTCTAGAAGAAGCTCACTGGTTAAGGCAGTGAAGTTGGGTTAGAACACCGTTTTATAAAAACAGGAAAAAAATTTATTAAATTTAAATTAACTCAAATTAGACACATGTTGGAATAATGTCATCCTCTAATAAATAGTTTCTGTAACCACATCATCATGTTAAAAACTAATTCTAATTGTGTATTTAAAGTGTACTAGAAAGCAAAGTTTTAATGCCAATTTTGTAGAACTTGATAAAATAGACACTGTACCTTTTAAAAATGTAACAAAAATCCAAAATGTAGTTATCCTATGATTTTTTAAATATTTATGTAATAAACTAAAATAATAATTTAACTTTAATCTAGCCTAGTAAATAAAAACTTGAATTATTAAGGAAAAAAATTAAGAAAATAAACAAAAAATTTTTTATGTAAACAGTTTAATTGTAAGTATCATCAAAATTCTTTGTGTAAAAATACAATTTATAAATTATTCTAAGGATTAACTCTTTTGTACTTTAATTTTTTATAGTACAACTGAAAATAGCCAAACTAGTTATTTGGCTGAAATGCATATTGTTTTATTCTATAACATACATATATTTTACATCTTTCTAAAATGCAATAAGTGTCCACAAGGTCTCAATTGTAAGTGGTTACAGTACAAGTTTGAGATACCGTAATCTCAACCATACTATTTTAGCATTTATATTAATTATCTAAAAAAAACCACCTCTCTGTTTCACAATAATTGTTATTGGTAACTATCAGTCATTAAATATTATGCTCACTGAGATAACATTAAAATACACAATTTTTGAATAGTAGTAAGTTTGTGGACATGAATATATTTATAAGGCACATCTAACATAAAAATGTTCTGCCACCAATGTCATGAAATGTTAGCACAAAAAACTCTTTGAAAATACCTAGAATTTCATATACATAATCATAATACAGATCCATATACTTGTAGATAAGTAGATCTACAGCTGACAGGAAGACTGATAAATGAATCTTAAATAAACCTGTTCAATAATAGCATAAGAAAAATAACCAGAAATGAGTTTCTCAACTTTCCTGGCAGCATTTAAAATTTTGATGATGCCATCTGTTATCATATTTTATTTAAAAACTTTTTATATTTTTAATTATTATAAAATGGCAAAAAGCTTAATTTTGAAGATAGAAATGAGTTTTATAAAAAATTGTAAATGCTAATAATGAGTAAAATTGTTATGAAGTCCAACTCTACTGGAGATACACATGACCCCCATTATTGCCCCACCCCCTCGACTTTTAACCACCAAATTTAATAGCATCAATCCCCCTAATAGACAAACCTCTCTGCAAAATTTCATAACTTTTTGACAAAACCACAATAATTATTAAGCTTCAAAGAGAGTGAAGAAAATTGTGCCCCACACACACTAATGTGAGATTCTGGACACCCCCTAATTAATTAGAAATCTATATCAAATACAAATTTTTAGAAGTAATATTTCTGATTTTAAATGAAAGAATTTTAAGTTAAACCAAAAGAAACTGGTAAAGTCACTTCCTTCTCAACGGAAGTTCGACATCCTTTTTGGTTTCCTTTACCTTCATAAATTTTGAGTCATATACAGTCCAGTTACACCTCTGTAAACCCCCACTCATCCTAAACATGTGGGAATAATACAATTCTCTCATTGGAGAAAATCATCCAAAAAGGGGATTCTTTAGTATCATTTGGGGAGTATGCCAGAAGATCCCAAGAAGGACAGACGTATTCCATATAAGCTCCATATGGCCAACGCCCATATTAACTCCCAAAGTTCATACTAAGTTTATTTCTAAGTTATGAAGATAAAGACAATGATTAATGAAGTGCCGACAGAGAATTAAAAAGGGACAATAACAAAACTAAAAGAGTTAACCAAAGATAAGGACATTAGCATCTACTTGTATACAGAAGAAAAGAATATACTTTGAGGTAGTATAATTTTAACTGGAATTGTGATCTCTCTCTTGATAGTATAAATAGATATAGTTGAAAGTCCAATTTGTATACTTTTTCTTTTGTTTATTAAATATTCGTTTTTATTGTTAAAGAAATGTCTCTTAAAATGCCTGAATCAAAATATTTTATCATCTCCATAACTTTCCATTTCGCATGTTAATCCACATACGCTAAATTTGATTAACTGGTGTCATTATCCTGATGTTGAATAGAGACTTCACCGTCTATATCCTTTTTATTAATAAAAGTCCTCCTATAAAAAGTTTTAGTGAGCCAATCTAATGATTGTGTGTCAGTAAGTGACATAGGTCAAATATCTATGCTCATGGCTTCTCACACTAACATACATACATACATACAGAAATTACACCCAAATATTTTTTTTTGCATTTCTCAACATTTCAAGATGTCCTAAGTCCAAAAATATAAAAATCTGAAGGGGGTCATGCTTTGCTGGATTACAATGCTTTCTCTCTGTATAACAGCCAAGAAAGTAATAATATGCAACATCAATTGTTCGTACAAAAAAAAAACAATTAAAATTTTGCATATTTTTTTATTTTATTCATTTTTGTATTTTTAACTTATAATACAGAATATTAGAATTGCTGTAGACAAATTTTAAGTTCTGTAATGAAATGTTCTAATACAGGTACTTAAACTTGCTATGCAGTCAAACTTTGTTAAATAAGGATCTTTGCATTTGAAAGCATTTATGAATTGTGTTTATTTGTTATTTTTCTATAATAAAACAATCCATTAAAGTTTACATTATGGTTTATTTGTTTACTATCTTCAATAGTTCATTCATTCATTGTTGGAAATGTTTTACAAAAAATCATTATGACTGTAGTAAAAATTTGAAACTCTTTTTTTAAAGGATATTTGGAGTGTTGAAATTCAGCAAATCATATATATTCTTCTTCATATGTAATTTATTCAGTTATAAAAAGTTTCTTTTCAATTTTTATTATACATTTACTTACATTAATATATGAAAAGTTCTTCAAGCTGAAAATTATTTATACAAAAGTGTATTACTATTGAATATGTGCAAATTGCAACAATATAAACTATATTTCAATATTAGTATTTAAATATGAGAAATTATAGTAAAATTAATGCAATATAAAATAATTTAAATTAAAAATTAGGTATTACATACTTCTCCATGCAAATCTGTATTTAAGAGCATTAGAGCACAAGTTAATGTATGGACAGCATCTGAAATTGTTTAAGAAAAAAAAAAAAAGGATTAGTATATCATTATGTAAAATTTCATTTACATAAAGATTACAATTAGAGATTTTTAATATATTATAAATTAAAAATTATTTTTAACCAATAAAATCTTCTAGTAAATCAAAAGAATTACTGTATTGCTTCTTCATTTTAAATTTAATTAAAAAATTATAAGATTTAAGTTTATGGCATATATAATACCTTATGAAAATATATATCAATACATATACAGTGTGTGTGCGTGCGGGCGCTTATAATAATATTTTTAAAAATCAATATAAAATTTTAATATACACTGGACGACAAAAAAAATAACGCACCATGAAGGACTTGTTGGATTTGAATAAAAATTGGTATATGACATCATCATAGCTAGACAGGTATATGATTGCAACCATAAAACAAAAACATACTTTATTGTTCAGTAATATACAATACAGTGCAGGCGCTAATATCCTGTTGGGCCGCCTCTAGCACGGATACAAGCTGTGATACGCCTTGGCATGGAGGCATAGAGGTCACGAATAATGTTCTGAGGCATATCTGACCATGCATGATGCAATTGGGACTCAAGATTCGTCAGATCCTGTGGCTGTCGCAGCTGGCGACCTAGGTGGTCCCACACATGTTCGATTAACGATAAATCTGGAGATCGTGCAGGCCAAGGAAGTGTGGCAACGTTACGTAGGCATGCTTGGGAGACCGCTGCAGTGTGTGGCCGGGCATTATCCTGCTGGAATATGCCTGTCGGAAGCCCTGCCATGAGGGGCAACACATGTGGCTGGAGGATGTCTTGCACATATCGTTGGGCTGTGAGGGTAGTACGCATGACAACTAGAGGCGTCCTACTGTCGTATGTTATGGCTCCCCACACCATAACACTGGGGGTTGGACCCGTGTGCCGCTCCACAGTATAGGCCGGGTTGACACCTTGACCAGCAGGCCGCCATACTCTCACACGGCCATCGTGAGCCCCCAAACAAAAGCGGGATTCGTCACTGAAGACAATACGCTGCCAGTCGGTAGCTGTCCACGATTGTCGTGCACGACACCACTGCAGACGGAGGCGTCGGTGGGTGGCTGTTAACGGTAGAACACGTACTGGGCATCGGGAGATCAATCCGCCTTCTACTAAGCGCCTGGAAATGGTGCGGCTGGATACACGGTTCTGTAATGCAGGTGCCACCGCTGCATGAATGGTAGATGATGAAGCTGTAGGTGCTGTCCGTGCTTGACGTACAATGAGACGATCCTCCCTTCTGGTGGTCTGTCGATGGCGTCCGGAACCCGTTTGCCGTTCGTGTGTACCCCTACTTACCCACTGCTCATAACACATCCTAACAGTTCTATCAGAACGGTTAAGATGGCGGCCAATCCGACGGTATGACCATCCTCCTTCTCTCAATCCAACAATGCGACCTCTCTCAAACTCACTTAACTGAGTGTAAGGTTGTCGATTGCGTCGTAGAGGCATGTCTGTCACACAATGAAGTCGAAACCACGAATAAAAGCGCAGAACATATGCACAAGTCGTCACAGCATGCACTTTTATACCAGATAGCGGAAGCATTTTTTTCCCTCTGGTGGCGATGTAACACAACAACCTGCTCTCAAAAGCTAATCATTTACATATCTAGCTAAGATGATGCAACATACCAATTTTTATTCAAATCCAACAAGTCCTTCATGGTGCGTTATTTTTTTTGTCGTCCAGTGTATTCTTTTAAAAGAATTTTATTTCTAATTCTGTAGTTTTTTTTATAACTAATATAGATGTTTTTTAGTAATAGGCTATATCAGTTTATTGGAAAGTTTATTATAAATGAATCATCAAATAACAAACTTGCAAGCCTGGAATATATCATAAAAATAGCAACCAACTGAATCTTAAAAGAAATTCCAGGATATTCTATTATAAACTCTAATGTTTTCAATCTTTACAGGAGATCTTCCTCAGGATATAGCGTTCTCCAAATTGGAATGTGAAAATGGAACATTTTTAAGAATTATTTGAAAAAAACAAGAATTTTTTTTTAAAGAATTCTCTCAAAAATTTTTTATTTATCTAAATGCTATATCCTGAAGAAGATCTGTGAAGATCAAAAACGTTTACAATAGAATATCCTGAAATTTCTTTTAAGGTTCAGTTGGTTGCTATTTTTTATGAATCATCAAATTTCAAGCAACTGTATTTCTGACAATTATTCAGATTTAACAATAATAAGAGAAACATTAAAAGAATTAGAAACTATCCAAGTTTGTGTTATAGGACTACAGATGTTCTGTATGTGTTCCTTTGGTAACATAACACATCCAAGCAGAAGTCCAATTTGCCCCATTGTAGCTTGTTTCCCTAAATGGTTGTAATTACAGCAATAATGCAATCCTGAAGCTTCGCCATAGATGTTAGTAATGGAGGCACATAAACTGTGTCCTTTACATACCTCAATAGAAAAAAAAAAAAACATCATACAGTGGGAAGTCCAGAGATCTGGGAGGCATCTGTACAGTGATAAGTCATTGCAATGACCAATCCAGCAGGGTGAGTGTTCTGCATTCAGGTATTGATGCACCTCATTGATGCTGGAAGACATTGGAAATGACTTCTGTTGCATAGCCACAATTTTGACAATGAATGTCATGCTGCCACCTGGTGTACCATAAAGAAATTTTCACATGTTTCAAATTTAGAGTTTCTCTTTCATTTTATGTCTGGCTTGGATGACCTAGCTTGATATTTTGGAAGTTACAGGACTTTAAAACCTACAGATTCATTTGTAATAACTCTGTACAATACACACATATTGCTTTACAAGGAAATGACAATATTTCTATAAGTCTAGGGGAATAAAAAACGTCATATAAACATCTCTCTTCAAAATGCATTGTTTCAGTTAGTTTAGGAGTTGCTCTACAGCACTGCTACACATTGCAGAAAAGCCTGGTCTCAGCCATTTAGCTTCTGTGCTATACTAAAGTGCCAAGAATTGCAATCAAACTTTATTCTTGTAAAAGACAAAATTCTAAACATAAGAAGCTGATGGACAAAGATTGAGGCTATTCTGTAGTACTTAGAAATGCTATAGAATAGTCTAATACCATTAAAAGGTAACAAACACAAAGTCATTGAAGTCTTGGAACACAAAAAATAATAAATAATGATCCTTTTTGGACAGCTTTGTCTTCAATTTTATTAAAAGTAATTCTACATTGGAAGAACATTTACAAAACCATTAGAAAGGTTTAAAGTTCAGTCTAGTGCTGAAACAATGTATTTGAATGGCTATGCTTATAGGACAATTTTGAATCTATAGGCCTCTAGAACATGCTGTAAAAATATTGTCACTGTCATGGAACAACCTGTGTATACATACACACACACAATTTTCCAAATCAAAAATATTTTTTTCAATTTCATCTTAATATTTCCAATAAACTAATATAGAATTTTTTTAATAACAGTTATAAAAACTAAATCACAGATAAATTCTCTAAAAAAAATTATTATTAAAATTTTAAATTGCTTTCTAAAATATATCCTTGATGTTCATTGGAAAGAAAGATTGTAAAATAAGACAGAATCCAATATGAAATTTTAAGAACAAGTTTTGTCCAAAAATTATGTAAATATTTTTCTAATTTTATTAACACTTATCAAATTTATTGCAAATAAAGTATAATATAATTTTAGTAAGTTTAATCAACCATTAAGTCAAAATTATACTTCAATAAATGCATTTAATATATTATATATATGTATATAAAGTATTTTACATTTGATTACTGTCTTGCTTCTTGATATTTTAAACATTTTCAAAATATTTAATCACATTGAATATATATATAAACATCTCAATAACCTGATCAACCCAACCAATCATCAGCCAAATTAATCTTTTAAGCATAATTAATATTTGAAATGAGAAGTCAATCTAAAATATAAAATATTCAATAACTACATTTAATTTTATGTAAACCTGAATAACTTGGTATCTTCAGATAGAAATCATATATCAAACATTTCAATTATATGTAAAATTAGATAAACATGATTTGTTTTTTTAAACAGTTTATTAGTTGTTTAAGTTTTACATGAAAAGGTTGCAAATGCAATGTCTAAAAAATTAAATGTCTAAATTAAAAAATGATTGATGCAGATCTACTTTGACTCAAATACAGTATAATTTTCAAGCATCCAGTAAGCATCAATTTTTTTGTGTCTAGAGAAATTTCAAGTTATGAAACTATTAGAACAATGTTATATATGAACATAAATACAAAAAAAATTATTTCAAAATTATGAAAAAAACTGCTGAGTTGATATTTACTTTTAACTGTGACAAACAATGATGAAAACATTTTCAAATACATAACAAGTTTCCATAAACTCAGATTTCATATCTCTATGTTACAATGTATAAAAAATGTTAGCAGTCAAAGTATCTTAACAATTTATCTATAATCTCCTCTGTAACAAAAAACAATATAAAGACAGAAATATAATCACCATCCAAAATAAAAGTTAAATTGAGCAGAATACACATTCAGACAATGCATCATCTTTCTAGCAAATGATTGCCTATTTTATCTTTCAAAGGTCAAATAGTAGACATCAATTTTCTTGTATTTTTTTATAATAAAAATTTTGTGATTCTTGATGCAAAAAATTATCAGAATGGTCATTATCAATCTGATATTTTATACATAGCATTCATTCTTGAACTTACATTTTTGATTTTTCTAGCTATGTATGAAATATTTAAGAATAAAATTCAAAATCCTTTGTTCCAAATGAAATGATTTTAAATGTTTGATTTAAAATATGTTCTAGAAAGTGTGATGTATTTTCAATTTTTTGCTTTAATTTTGCAATTTTTTATTTTAGAACTTTAAGCCTTGAAAAAAAAACCTTCTTATAAGTGCAAAATCAGATCTGATTACAACATTATAACAAATGTTAGATATGTTTATCATTTGAAATTAATATTATATTTGTGTCCACTTTGGATGTTCTTGTAAAATTGTTATACTGAGAGAAGAGTGAATACAAGTATAATGTAAGTAATTAAGAACAAGAAGCACATATCAAAATTTGAAATTAATATTTTAATCTTTGAAAGCATAAAAAAGAAGAAGCTTGCTTATGGGGTGTTTATGATGCTGCAGCATCTCAATGATATCAAAGCAATTGGTATTGCTATCTTAAAATAAAAATATTAGGTGTATAAATATGACTCTGCCCTTTTTTAATAGACGGCGTTAGTAGTACTGTTTGCATGCAACTGAATTGGGTAACCTTTTACTTGAAAGGTTTGACAGCATTCTTCAAAAATAAGTCTAAGACATCTATTTAAATTGTAAACAATAATTATTTTTATATGGTTAAAAATGTCAAGTTTTGTGCCAGAAAACAGCATTTGTGGGAAGTTTTGCTTCACTATTTTATTTCAAAGAAAACCGCAGAAGAAACATATCGTTTGCTGTTGAAAATTTGTGGTGAACATGCTCCATCCAATACAACGTAGAGAGTGGTTTCGACAGTTTAAAAATAATGATTTTGATAAACATGACAAAGAACGTGGAAAACCACCAAAAAAAATTCCAAGATGAAGAATTGAAAGCATTACTGGATGATATTCCTTGCCAAACACAATCGGCTGCTGTTTTAACATTACGCAACCATGTATTTCCCAACATCTACATGCAATGGAAATGGTTCAAAAGCAAGGAAATTGGGTCCTATATGAATTGAAAAAAAGAGACATTGAACATTGAAAAACCATATGTGAATTATCACTCCAAAAACAAAAAATAAAAGGGTTTTTGTACTGAATGGTTACTGGGGATGAAAAATGAATTCACTTTGACAACCCTAAATGATCAAAGGCATGGATGCATCCAGGTGAACCAGGTCCATCAATGCCAAAACCGAATATTCATGAAGTAAGGTTATATTGTGTATCTGGTGGGACCAAAAAGGTTGAGCTGTTGCAACCTTTATACTATGAGCTGTTGCAACCGAGTAAGACAATCAATGCTGAATGTTACAAATAACAGTTAATCAAACTGAATGAAGCATTGAAGCAAAAACATCCAGAATATGCCAAAAGATACAACAAGGTTATTTTTCAACATGACAACATTCACACACATGTTGCAAGGCCAGTCAAGGAAACTCTAGAAGCACTTCACTGGGATGTATTGCTCCACCTGCCATATTCTCCAGATATCGCTCCTTCAGATTACCATTTGTTTCAATCCATGCAGAGCAACCTTTCAGGAAGGCGGTTCAGATTTTATGAAGATATCCAAAATTGGGTTATAACTGGATTGCTTTAAAACAATCAGATTTTTTCCTTCATGGAATCCATTTGTTGCCTGACAGATGGGCAAATGTTGTATCTTCTGATGGAAAATATTTGGAATAAATCTTTCTTGCATTTTATAAATAAAAACAAACGTGTTATATTTACTGAAAAAAGGGTAGAGTTAAATTTATACAGCCAATATAATAATACATATTGCATAACTTCAATTAGATAACTAAAGTAATTCTAAGATAAGTGGGAGACATTCCCTTAAAAAGAATAGGACATGTGTTTTGGCTTCCTGGAATATGCCTTGAGAAGCACCCATATTCTCAAAATCACAATGCATAGTTTATGTAGTAAATTTATTGTTTGATAGAAAACTAGCAAGCATGTAGAGCTATCACATTAATATATACATGATGTAGTCTGAATTAAATTTTTACGTTGTAATGCAGATTGTATTTGTTCTTGTTACAGTTAAATATTTATAAAGCTGTATAAGAATTGCTATATGTTAATAAAACAAAAACATAGCAAAGTTTTTAAAATTAATTGTATTTATTGGCTATATATAAGATGGATATTTAAAAATATATATAGTTTGTAAAATAATTTTTAAATTGAATAATTACTTTAAAATTTAAGAAAGTAAAGTAGAACCACACTTTAACAAAACCAGATGCACCACCATTATTATGGTCCAGAATAATATCTAAAACTATAAACACAAATATAATTATATATTTATTAAGCACTTTTTAATTACTATATATATTTAGTCATTGCAATCTACATATATTGTGCTGTAATTACTTGGAATTCTTGATTAAATTTTTTACAGTGAGTGTGAAATAATGGTGGCACTTCAGGTTTTTTTAAGTGCAATGTTAGACTTGTATGATTGGCAGAATATAGATCATGTATCATATACAAAATTTTGATTCACAATGTCAATGTCACACTCAGCCAATCAGCTGTGTGTGACATTGTTTTAATGCTTACATATCTAGAAACAACATTATATACTTAAAAATTTACAATACTAACCTTGTGATTTGAACACTCCTGGATTACATTCAAGATATCTTTTAGAAAAATGAACTAGAACCCTTTCCCTTTCTTGAGTTTCTCCAATTAAACAAAACTTCTTTAGAAACTTACGAAGTGCCATATCTAGCATATCACTCGAGAAATCAAAGAATTTGAGATATTCTTCAGCAACTACTCGACTGAAATCATTACTATATTAAAAAAAAAAAAAGTTTAGAAATGGCACAGAAGCAATTTTAAAAAAATATATAAATCATTATTATAGTATTTCTGAACTAAAGATGCATTACAATTAGCATAGAAAGAAATAATTTTTATAAAATTCATATTATTATAAAAACATATCATTACTTAACACACAACTAAAGATTATGTAATTATATTTATATGCACAGAAATTCATCTTTAATCTTCAGCTAAAAATAAAAACAATTATAAATGAAAGACAAAACACAAATTCTCACTGCATGTTTTAACAAAACTCTTGAAGTTTCAACAAGATTTTAAGAAAATTTTGAGTTTACAAAACAAGCACACAGATATTTATCTTACTATGATATAATCAAAACTACAACTTTCATCAATTTTATGATGAAATAAATTAGAGTTTTATTTGTATTTGAATTACAAATATTTATGCCATACAGAGCTATAAAATATTTTATTGAACATTCTACAATTACCTATGTGAGGTCCTGGATAGAGTCTGAATCTCTCATTAAACATATAAAAGCTGGAATTCATTTAAGAAAATTACAATTGGCATACTGTATATTGTTTTCATCAAATCAATGGTAAATAGAAATTTCCTAATTCAGTTCTACTTATTTTGATTCATTTAAGTTTATGTATTTAAATGTTCAAATCATTTTAAATTCAAATTTGTTATTGCATATTGGTTTGATTATAGAACAATTGTAAACATTCCAGTAAATTCATAACCTGATGATGGCCCATTAATCAGGTTGAAAACATTAGTTTAAAGTAGTAAAATGATTCTCAGCAATAAGGTGTATACGTTATATAATATTCAATGAGTCTGAGTATATGTTGAAGTCTACTTATTTCATATAATTTTCTTAAATGTAAGATTCATTGCATGTTTCTTTTAATATAATTGTGTAAATAACATTCAAATTAATACAATAATTCTTAATGTTATTAGTTGTCAAATATAAAAATCAACAAGTCCAAAAACAGATATAATGTTAAGTGAATTTCTGATGATATTATTATTATGTTACTAATCATAACTTTGAATTTACTTCATTAATAACAGCCAATTGATAATAATGATTATAATCCATATTGTTCCAAATAGTAATACAAGAAACATTAATTCAATGGTCATGAGTTAGGAGGTTGTAATACCAATATCCTAAACCATAAATCAAATTAAATCATCCAATCGATTTAATTTAGTTTATGAATGAAATGCAAGATAAAAACAAATGTTTTGATCTTGCATTTCATTCATAAACTAGCTGCTTGAAGGTTGTGATTTTCATTATTGTTTAATTACTTAGCATAATGAAAGCAAATAAGAAACAAAGATTTGTCCATCAAAGATAAATTTCAAATTTTTAGAATACTACATCTGTAAACTGAAACTAATCAAACAATTGAAGCAGCACCAACCTTTATCTTCAATTGCTATACATTAACCTCAAAATGTTTTTTGCATTTTTAAAATGTTGATACAGTATTTTACAGTTTAAATTTGAACCTTCAAAAGAATATCACTGGCAATGGAACAATGGAAATTCAAACATTTGTTCTAGTATATTAGTTTTATATTATATTAGTATATATGTTTAGTTTTGCATCTTAAAAAACTTTAACTGAAGATGACCTTAAAAAAGCTGAAAACATTTTGAGAAAATGTTTAAGAAAAAGCTGAATGTATAGCAACTGAGGATAGTGCTGGTTAGTGCTGTTTTGATTGAAAAATTTCACTGCCAGTTTTGTGCAAATTTTGAAAAACAAACTAAACATTAAAATAGCAGTAGAAAAAATTAAGAACATGATTTGTAAGATAAATTAGACTAGAAAAGATAGTAAAATTGAATTAGTTTTGAAGCTTTAGTTTATTAATATTTATGGCAGAATAATTATATGAAACTATGGCAAGACTTTCATTGCAACTGATGTTCAACTGGCGGAAAAAACAAGAGAATATTGTGCACAGATGCACTCATGGTGAGAAGAAAGGTTCTGATTCTTTACAACTGAATTATGGATAAGTACATGAATTATGGACAAGACAGAATAGCCAAACATTATTGCTGAACAAAAAATAAACTCCAATTATTGCTGAATATTCTGATTAGTTAAATGGAATATAAACTTGAAATGAAAGATTGTTAACATGTGATTGTGCTGTACCAACAAAACAGTTGGTCATTAAAAACCATTAAAATAAATTCCATCTTGCAAAAATATCATCACTGATTGAGCCAAGCAATTAAGGAATTGTATCTAAGTTAAAAGAAGCATGCTATAGTAGTAATATATATTCAAGAATTTCAGGAGCAATAGGTAATAGTCAAAGAACTTTCTTACTTGACACACAATTTAACAATATCATGAAATCAAGTGTCTGAGAAAGCTATGAAAATTATTTAAAAAGGATTTTTTTTTTTAAAATAAACACACATCTGAAAACAAACTTGTGTCTAATGAAGAGGATATAACATACAATACTCCAAGATGATATATCTAAAGAAAAGTTTAAGAATTGGATAACAATTAAGAAAATTACAGTGTCTGCTAGAATATCATCAAAAATATGCCAAATTGTTACTGAAGAAAGCTCTGAAGAATTATAGAATGAAATTGAAGAAAATCAGTCAGATGCAAAAAGCTCTGCAAGTACTTTATCATGGCACACTGATGTGTTGCATTTCAAAAAACATTATAAATATGAACATTTTATTAATAAAATATTGAAAAAATCTGGTAATAATGCTAGACAAACTACAAATAGTAATTATTATTATAATTAATAAACTTTTAAGTTAATAATTAAATTCATTTATTAACATTTTAAATTGTTTTAATATGTTTTTAAATTATCTGATTCAGTAAGACCAGAATTTCCACTAATTAGTGTAATTACTTTCATTACATAATGTTATCACTTTACCAATATAAGCTAGACCTAAAGTAATTATAATAAAGAGGCACGTACTATATTTGGAAACCAGACGAATTAAACATAAAAAAGAGAACTTACTTTTTACAAAGATGCCTAGAAACATCAGACTTTTTAAAACCTTCTAGATGAAACAGTCTTTTTGCAAGCCGAAAAGCAGATGGCATGTCTATGGCTTTTGGACTGTAGTGAAAACTGTGTAAACTTTCAATATCAGATTCATCGTCCATTGGTGGAGAAGAACTATGTACAGAATCTTCATCTGGTGAACTTCCATCACATTCTTTCTGATTTTCATTGTCTATTCTTTTAAGCCATATTGGCTGAGAATTTTTCTTTCCCATCTTATTATCTATTCCTTCATTTTTTATATTTTTTGGAATGGAATCCTCATTAGTATCATTTGGACTTACCTGTACATAGATTTTATTTTCATCAACCACAATATTTGTTACACCTTCTTGTTTTGATTGCATATTAGTTTGGTTATGCTGTTCTTTTATTGATAACCTTTCATTTATATTATCTTGATTGTTATTGACTAGTTCTTCACAGATGACAAATTGTCTGTTGCCCATCTTGGATTCGTCACTATCAATGTAATTTTCTTCACAAGAAATTCTTTCCATTGAAGAATTATATTGCAAATTATTAAAACACTGGTCCCTTTCTGAGCTGTTTAATGTTTGATGAAAATATTTTTTATAAATGTGTGGAATGGCTAACTTTTTTGTATCAGGAAAGTTCTTGTCTTTTGGGCTGCTTGGCTTGGAAGAGTACTCTGTTGCACTTGAAGCTGATGAGATGCTCCTAGGAGAGGTTGGAGATGTGCTATAAGGAGGAGAAGGTGACTTTTCTTCACCTACTGGAGCATTATAAGTCCAAACAATCCTTTCATTGGCAGGATTATCTTGTTTAGTGTCCAATAATGTATTTAAGGAAGAGGCTATATCATCTTCAACATCAATATTTACAGTAGTTAAAGAAGCTTTTTGCAAATGGTCCTCACTTTTGGAAGTTCGTACATAACTTGTACTGTAACTATAATTACCTTTTTTCTCAGCCACAGGGCTTTTATAATTTGATGATTCTCTCTTGACACCCTTCCCGTATAATCTCTGTTCAATTTCTTCAGGACTAGTAGGAGTGGAAATTTGACCGAAAGGAAGATTATCAGTTCTCTTGGTTCCCAGGTTGGAAGTTTTGGAATTTAAATTGATGATAAGATCACCAGTCATCACAAAAGTCTCAACCCTTGGCTGTTGTGGCCTGGTTTGAGATTTACTTGACTTAAGATTATCTGTATTGGATCCATTCTGCACAACATTATTAGATACATTTTCACAGGTTGGTGGGGGGATGTTTTCATCATTTTCTTTGATACCATTGCTTTCAAGCTGAATATTATTGAGGTTTGAACTACTATCTGTGGCAGCTTCATTAGATTCAGATTTTTTCCGTAAAGCTTCATTTGATGCTGCCATATGTCTCTTGACTTTATCTCTAATAATGGAGTCTGTAAATATAACACTTAGTTGTATATTGAAAATTATTAATGAAAAAGTCAATTAAGTTATGTTTTTGATGCAATAAAAATTGAGTAAAGAATAAATTATAAACTATTTAAAAAAGTATTATAATAGTTTTACAAGTACAAACATTAAATATAAACAAATTACAAATCCAACATTGTACAAATTTATAAATATAATAAATAAATGATAACAAGTAATTATTTACTGTGATATCCTCACAATGCTGGGCTGCAATTTTTAATCACATTCTTAATTTATTAATTTAAAATACATGTTCTCTATCTCAAATTAATAGTGTCTTGCCCCTCTACATCATATTTTTTCTGATAACAACAGTCATTCTGGTCATCTATGTAGCTCTATTCAGAAGAAAATTTTTGAATTAAATTCACGTGACTTCCGGTCTAGACTGGAAATTTGGATATTATTAATCAGGGCCTCCTGCCCAAGCTTTCTGTATCTGATCTCAACTTTCATCTATGTAACACTGTTCTCTAGATTAAGGAAGACAGTTGGAAGACAATAGAAATTTATGTCTGCACTTTTTTCAAATTGCTGCCAAATAATGTGAAAAGTTTAAATTACTTAACATTCTTTTAATTATAAAAAAAAAGCAAATTATTTTCAAAAATTATTTTAATATACTTGTATATGAACTACTGAAGATGGGCCTTAATAAAATATAACCTACTAAATGCACTGATTCCTGAAACTCATACTATTAATTTCTAAATCAATTGCTTTAAATCAAATTGACTTATTTCTATTGAGTATAATTACATACATTAAATTATCAATTAATATCTATTCTAAAATTGTCATTATGGTATTGTGTTTTTTAAACATGAAAATATAACATGTATATTAAAATAAAACCATAATCTTTACAAATACTTCACATATATGGTAATTTTAGTGTTTTCAAATATATTTGCATTGAATATGTTTCATTTTAACAAATTTATTGTTATTTCTCTCACATTTAAAAAGCACATAACATGAAAAGAGTTTTGGAACACATACTTCTGTTAATTAGGTGAGTACAGATTCATCATAGTTTACTTATATATTTATAGTTTTTAAATAAAAATATAAAAAAATATCTCAATGCCTAGACAGAAATATAAGATTTCTCTAAATTTACAATAATAGCTTTCTAGATTTCTAGAGGGTATTCAGATGAAAAGTTTACTTGTGAGAATCAGAATTGATGCCATGAGCAAAGCTGCTTATATTCGTTACTCCCCAAGAAATCACAAAAGACATTTAAATCTTGAACATTTATTTTTAGACTCTAGGGATAATATTTGAAACCCAACTCCTGACATCATCAAATTTACTCCTCTCAAACTTTTCATGATCACTTGGTATGATTTTAGTAGTTTATTAGAATAGATAACTTAAAACTATGATAAATATATATGCAAATTAATTTATCATCATCATACATTATTTACCTTTCTTTACTGTTATTGTGACTACATCATTAGACAACCTCAGGCACTTTAGAACTAAAATAAAAATATATTTTAATGATGCAAAATCTTTAAAACAGAAAAAATTATCGAATTTAAATAGAGTAATATATTTAAATATTTATATTTATAAAATTAATAATTAATGCAGATTTTTCAGGTTTCATAGAAATTCTCAGAACTCAGCACCATTATAACAATAATATAAATAAACTGCTAAAGTTGATATTACCAAAAATATTTTATTAGAAAAGTTTTTGAACTTAGTTCGGGTAATCTTCAGCTAAAAGAATATAATAAAAAATTCTTATTCATAATTTTAAATGTAAAGGACTTCTTTTCTATTTATTGTATTCTTTTAGCTGAACACAACTGTAAGTAAGGTTTAAAACCTTTCTAATTAAATTCTTTTGGTAATCTCAACTTCAGCAGTTTTTGATTTATATTACTATTTTTCAAAATTATTTCTAGACTATATGGCAAACTATTTTATCAAAATATCATATAGAATGCATGTATAATACAATTCACTTTAATCACTACTATTTCTTTTCAATCCTCCAAGAATTAATAGTGAAATGCTAACCTGCAAAGTTGAATTTTCTCCAATATTTACCTAATATATTTTACTCCAATAGAGCAGCTTCTGAACAGGTTTGTAAAAGAAATGTTAATATGATGACTTCTAGAATTACTCTATTTTAATATTGGTTTGTGTCAAGATTAAAATATTTATTCATTTATATTTCTACACAAAGTATTAATAATGTGAATTTAAAATAATTTTACAATGTAATATTAAAAAAAATTTGATTAAAAACAGAATAAATAAAACATCAAGTTCTAATACATAATCAACTAGTTGCTACTTCTAAAACTATCCTAAACCATGTTAGTTTATCCACAAGGCATTTAGAAAGTAAATGATCTTGCGGGTTTGTTTGTAAATGTTATATCTTGGACGGAATTAAATATTTAGATTTATCACTGATGCTCAAAAACGTTCAATTCCTAGTGGAATTTAACAATTTTAATTTTAAAAATTTCTAATTTTTAAATAAAAAGAAATTTGTCAAATTTTAAAAAATTTATCCAAAAATTACTTACTCTCAAAAGTATTTTTATATAATGTAGCAATAGCAATATAATTGCTGTTTTAATTCTGTTAACAATGGAAATATCTTTGAGAAGTATGGAAGCTTCGTGTATCCTTAAATAATGTTTTAACAAAACTATAGAAATTAAACTGTTTTCAAATAAAATTATAATATGCCACTAGAATAATCTGCACATTCAGTTCTCTTAAGTTTGGATAAGAATGATAATTAAAGCTTCTACAACATAGTAATAAAGAAGGATCTTTATCTTTACACTCGATAATTTCTTAATAATTATTCATGTAGCTAGATAATGGTTTAGTAGTAGTATTATCCTAGTTATCTTGAAGTTTTTGGCACAACAGCAATGAAGACTATATTACCCTAATTCAAATTATTAGAAGTAAAAAAAACCTGTACATAAAATTTTTAAAAAATGTATGAAAACATCAGATACAATAAAAATATATTTATTAATTTGACAAATTTAAGAGTTACAACAATTGAATAATAAGGACAAGAAGTTCTAAAATAAAAATAAGTATATGGTTTTATTCAAGTATACAAAAATTTATTCAAAAATACTTTTACTATTAAAATCCTTACTTATCCTTTATCCTTGTTTAAAATAAGGAAAAAAAAGCAGACTGTTATATAAACTACTAGCTGTTACCCGCGACTTCGTCAGCGGAGGTTTTGCAAGCAAACCCCATTTACATCCAATATTTCAATAACCATAGTAATTGTTATATAACACCTACCGCTGAAGAGAATTGCCGAAAATCAAACGAACTATTTTCAATTTGATCAATTTTCTGAAACGTTTACAATCGTTCTATAATCGAACCAATACGCAATAACAAATTCGAATTTAAAACNCACAGCTTAAATGAATTTTTAAAATTTGTTTATATAAATTTCGAGTTTTTAATATTTTTATAGCTACTTCGCTTGAGATTCGAATAGAGGAAAAATGAATAGCTTTCAAATAAACCAAAAAATATCAAAGTTTAAATCTTTTACAATGCAGTGGTAACAACCTGAATATAAATATCAGAAATGATTACTGCAGTAAACACAAAACTATATAAATACTAATTTTATGGGATGTTCTAAAATTAAATCATGTATGTAAAGTGAAGTTTACAAGTGAAAACAAAACATTAAAGCATCTACAAAAACAGATACAAAAATGACAAAATGGAAGCTTTCAGATCTAGTTAAGTGTTTAAAAGTGTGTTCCAAATTTTATTAAATGATATGTCATCATGTCTAGAGACTATATCTACAGATTATCATCAATAATGATTTGAGTAGTGACATTGCCACCTTTTCTTAATGTTAACAGCATGAAACAAACATTATCAAAAGAAATTAATAAAATTCCCATAATAATTTACAAAAATGATTTAGATTCTTCACAATGACAGAAAAGATTCCTTACTGAGAAACCATTTGAATAACTTTTTGCATAGAAAATAAATTATTACAAATATTATAAAAAGAGGAAGACAATTATGAAGCAATGAAGCAAGCTGTTTTCCATATGTCAAATTTGGACTTTTGTTTGTTGACTAAAAATGTACAAAAGTTTTGAGCTATCTTTATGTGACACTTTCTACCAGTTTTGATTTCAATAATATAAAAATCATTTGTGAAAGTAAGTTTTTTTGGTCCATTTTCTGTTCAATGTTTTAAATAGAACTTTTATGTATTGTGACATATTCATTGTAAAAAAAACTTTCTAACGTAATACAAGATTTCATTATTTTTTTTTTTCTGAAAACAGAACTCACTTTATAACATTTGATTTTTTTGTTTGACTTTCAGACATTTGGCTTTTAGGAACATGTTATATCTGAAAGTTGGGGGGGAGACATTCTGGGAATAAAATTTGATAGTAAGACTGATGGTGCATCATTTTCACATAAATTTGTTAATAAACATAAAAGCAATGTTAATTCAAGTTAATTTTATTATGTATATAATATTGTATTACATATAAACAAGAGATAACTTGCCTTCTTTCGTTGTAAGAGATACAACTTTCTTTTCATTTACTTTCAGTATTATATCACCAGCTTCAAGCTAAAATATAAATAAAACTTTTAGATTAAATAATTTGAATAGGTTTAGATAAATAAAATGCAATAAATTTATAATTATAATAAAATTAGATAAAACTTTGAATAACAAATATGTAAAACATAATAATAATTATAAACTTAAATTAAACTTAAAACAGCATTATTATTAGTTTCAGTCATAATCAATATTAAAAGCAAATTATGCATGGTGGGCCTTATACAAGATGCAAAAAAAAATCACACTGCAAGAACAAACATATCATTATCACTAACCGACCAATCATAATATATACGTGCTAAATTTTAAACAGTCCAACATATGTTCTATTTTTAGAAATTAAAAAATATTCCCTACAAGCATCATCATTCATTTGTCAGAAATGTTCTACATTCGAAAGACTTCAGAACCTGAAGATGGAGGCATAAGATCTCTAAAAACATTCATTCTAGTATTAATACTTCACATTACTGCCGGAGTTTGGATATTCTACATAAGTCAACTGAAATTAAATTACCATCACCTATTAAATAATTGCATTCATTTATTACTCAACATAAATCATCCTACCAGATTGTTAAATATGCACTTTCCTATTTCCAGTAATTTGATAAAATAACTTATTCTTGGTTCACAAGATCTCTCATATTGTGAGAACTTGAGTTCTTTAAATTTTTTAAAGAAATGTTCATATTTATAATTTATTGAAATTGAATTATAATAGAACATGTGTGACAAATGTGTGCATACTGAAACAATATTGATGATACAAGTCAATTTTACGTAAATTCAAATACAATTATGAATTTTATATACACAAAATTTTATATACAGTATAAGACTAATTTTTGATGAGTTAGAAATGTTATATTAATTAATTTAACAGATGATATTTCAAATTAGATTATTCCAAAATCTATAAAACAAAGTGTTACATTAGATAGTACAAGTGAGACAGTGTGAAATTTATAACTCACAGAGCTTGTAAACAGAAATGTAATAATATGTATTGAAATATCATTATAACAAATTTAAAGGGATCCTCCTGATAATGTTTGTTAAACTGAGTTTGTAATGAAAAATATAAATTAAATAACTAAATATGAAGTTTACATATAAAATAAAAATGTTATATATGTCAATTATTCCATTTTAATACTTATTTCATGTAAATAAAATAATTTAGGTCTGAAGTCGTCAATTTAATTTATGCCTCTAAATCATATTCTTCTTATGCTTTGGTTTCTTATACTGGAGGAGATTGACTAGAAGAAGCTTGGCAATATTTCCTTCCCCAAATGATCCTCAGTGCTCTTTTACACTTATGCTTTAAGTGAAGAATAAATTAAATAATAAAAGAGACAAATGGTCATCCTTATACCTGTGTCTATAACAATTTGTGGTATTTGGTTTGACTTGATGGAAGAAATATTCCCACACCTTAATATTGTTTCTAATCATAACCAGTTGAATTTGGTTTGATGGATTACAGAAATGCAACACGTGGGTAATCTGCTAAGGGAGAAGCTTTCCAGATAGGCTTTCTATGGCAAACTAGCTCCTACTTAGGTGGAAGAGGAAATGATGCTCTGATGCATACTATTTATAACAAATTACAGGCATAAAAATACATAATAGAAGCAATGCCATATCAATACATTGGCAATGGGGCAAGTGCCAAGGGTAAAGGGTACAAGGCATAAGGATTCAGTGCATAAATGTTTGCAGAAAATATGGACTAAAAAACTAATGCATTGCTATAGTTCTGAATAGAAGTACACATTAATTACATTTGGTAAAGAATTTTCAACTTTTAAACATTTTTTTTGAAATTTGAGAAATTTGAAATGACATTAATTTTTTATTCTAACATTGCAGTAATTTGAATATGAAAGGAAAATGAATTTTAAATATAACAATTTTAAATTTAATACAGAGACCATATTTATGCAATGTAATTGTGTAAGTAAAACATAAAAAATTAACTAGAATAAAAAATTCCAATGATTTCAAATAATTATAATAAAATGGGTAAATCAAAAATTAAAAAATTTAAAATTTAAAGGATTCTTTTTAGAAAACAAACATTAAAATATAAATAAAATCATCTATACATTTTATATATTACTTAAATGATAATTATATTAATTTATATACTAATAATAATAATCATCATCATTAACCTATTTTGATAAATAAAACATATGGTTGATCCCAATTCAATAATAGAAAATGTATATTATCTTAATATCACTGAAAATATACTCATGTATAATAATGATCTGGTTATCATTAAAACTGTGAATGTTTAGATACCAACTAGTTATCAATATATATATATATACATATAAATACTTAAGATATTTATTATTTATTTTTAAGTACTAATTTTAAGTTTTAGGTTTCCTTATGATATATTATGTTATATATAAATATATATAACATAAGGAAAACTAAAACTTAAAAGTAGTACTTAAAAATAAATAATAAATATCTTAAGTATTTGTATCCAGAAAGTGAGAAACTAATAAATATCTTTAATTATAAAATGTTTTTGTTGAGATCTAATACTGTCATTAAATTATAATTAAGAAGTTTAAATGTACAATAATAAAATAATAATTATTAACCTTTTTCTAATCTCATATTTAATAATAATTAAAAATTTTATTTATTTTTAAAATTCCGATATCAATAATTTTATCTCAAAATCAAATATATAAAATATAACTGCACAAAATAATTTAATTTCCTCGTGTCATTTCTTTCTTTGTATATCATTAAAACACATATTACTTTTAAATGAAATTTTCCTTTCAAATGACAAACTGAAATTAATTTGATTAACTTGTATAAACAAATTACCATCAAACATTTTTCTACAATATATTAATTCTCAATATCTTGTTAACTTTTGTTTCAATACATGCACCAGTAAAAGAGGCACAGAAAAGGAACTTTTATAATGTGGTTATTAAGCAATTAATGTATTCAGAGGAAAAAAGTTCTACATCAAAAAATTGATTAATTTTATACATCATAATATCATATTATACTATGTAATTATATAATTTTGCAACACTNAATATACTACTTACATGGGATATAATAATATACTACACTAATAAACTAATTTTTTCATACTTTTCGGTTATCCAACTTTCCAATTATCCGACCAATCCCAGTCCCCAATTGAGTCGGATAATCGAGGCTCTACTGTAATAAGTTGTATATTAAATGAGGAGAATTTACATATACAGTATCTTCTAATCTAATTGTTGGTACTAATGATATCATTAAATAACCTTTGTTATTATTAATAAAATAATGGTTCTAAATTGAACCAGTATCACTAATTATTGACACTTTAAAATTTTTAGTAAGTTTATGATATTTGTTTAATTAATTAACAGATTTGAAAGATAATTATTTAACAAACAGAATTTTAAATAAATAATTTAAGTATTTTAGAAATTTCACTCTGCATTTTTATTTTAGTTAAAAGCTTTTTATATGTTTAAACTTAAATTTTAAAATATGTATAAACATCTCAATAACTCAATGTATTATTAATCATCCAACCATCAGCCAAATTAATCGAGCAATATTACAGTACAATTAAGAAAAAGAAATTACGTGATTAGAAATTAGAGGAAGATGTTGAATGACATCTCTTATCAAAAATAGGAAATATAACTGTAGCATAACATTGCCCAATTAATTTGGCTGATGGTTGGATCTTTAAAACATAAGCCTGTCTTTAAATAAATAAATAATTTTTTGACTGAAAAAATGTTACTTTGTTAACTATTTAAAACCTTAAAAACTAGAAAAAAATAAAATAAAATAAAATAATAATACATAAATAGAATATTAAGATTTTTTATTCTATTAAAACTGATATAATCAAATACAAAAATATTTTAAAGTAAAATTATTGACTTTTAGATATAAAATTTTGTTATTCTAAGTTAAATATTATTTAAAATAAGAAAATACTTAATAGTAAAAAAACATGTTATTTGAACAATTTAAATACTGTTGTCACTGACATTACAAATAAAGATATTTAATGAAAATAAATTCTTCTTTTTTCAAAATAATAAGTTTAAACTTTCAAAAATAAAGTATAGTTGGGCTTATATATATTATAATGCTTAAATCTTATGTAAGATATACCTTAAATTTTCAAGATAATTCTATTAAAATCATATAAGATTTTGGTATATAATTTAAAAGCATACATACAAGATTTCACAAAATTTAAAATACAGAAAAATTTTTGCTTAAGTGGAGTGCATGTAATAGAACAAAACAGATTCAAAAGCACTTAAAATTTTAGTTTTTAATGTTCTATTTTGTTATACTTCATTAAAACAAAAATATTTTTCTGAATTTAAAAAAACAGGTCTCAAAATATATTTTTAAATATAAACTGAAATAATGCACTCTGAGAAAATGCCATTAAAGCTATACATGATTTACTGAAAATCAATAAGTGAAGGTGATTTTGAACATGTAAAAAGAATAAATCAGAGCAAGTGTTTTCTAATGAATATTGAAAGAAAACAACTAAGAGGCAAGCCTAGGAAATCTTGGTATGGGTTGATGAAAAATGACTAAGTCTTACACTCTGTCTTGAGAAACTGTCCAAAATAGAAGTGTGTGGAAGAGAATCTGGGATTACTTGGCTGATCCATATTATTCCAGAGCCATAAAATAAGATTTTGTTATTATTGTTTTAAATACAGCATAGTTTGTATATGCACAACTTTTTACACATTATATTCTCTTAAGCTAAACACACACTAAAAACAACTTGACTAAATTATAATAATGTTAAAAATATAACTTTTTAGGTGAACAAATAAATTGTTAAATAAGGATTATTTTAGTTTTTTCTTTTGCTTGATCAGTGAAGTTTAAACATGTTTTATACTTTTAATTACAGTAGAGCCTCGATTATCCGACCGTCCTAGTTGGCAAATTTCAAATGTCTGCTAGTGATGTGGTGCTACAATATT